TTTTCACAGTGATTATTCTAGTTAGAGATTCATGAGTCTAACAGCCTCAGGGTAGAAGCTGTTCCTCAGTCTAGTGGTTCTACACTTAATGCTCCTCAACCTCCTTCCTGAGGGGAGTGGGGCAAAAAGTGTGTGTGCTGGGTGAGTGTGGTCCTTGATGATGCAGGTGGCCCTCTTCCTGCATCTGGAGGTGTAGATGTCTGTGATGGTGGGGAGACTGACTCCAGCATCTTCTGTGCAGCCTTCACCACTCTCTGCAGAGCTTTTCTTTCTGCAGCTGTGCAGCCTTCACCACTCTCTGCAAAGCTTTTCTTTCTGCAGCTGTGCAGCCTCCATGCCACACGTTGATGCTGGAGCACAGGATGCTCTCCACTGCACACCTGTAGAAGGAGGTGAGGACTGAGCTTCCCAGACCAGCTCGCCTCAGCCGCCTGAGGAAGTAGTTTACTTTTTACTTTTTGTTTTTTACTTTTACTTTACTTTTAGGACTTGTGTGGAAATCTGATGTTTTGTGTCATATGAAATATAGAAAATTCTAAAGGCGTCACAAATTTTCAGGCACCACTGTAAACACTCTTTGTACCAATGTCCAGCTTTACACTTTGTTCATTATTGTCTGGGAACCTTGAACGTAGCTTGGTACTGATTTTCACGTTTGTTTGGTTTTCATCTCTCCTTCAGTTGTCTGTTATGTGGACAAGGGGTCAAAGTTCAACACCAGTGTTGTGACTGATCTGAGCAGTGATCAGGGAGGGTCATCTGAGGACGGGCACCATGAAGGAAACGGTGAAGGTCATCACCGAAGACGCCGAAGCCCCCTTGGGTGGCCGAGTAGTGAGGAGGCTGATGGAGATATGACCCTTTACGGCCTCTTCCAGCTCTGCGGTGACCTGGTGTGCAGAAGCACCGTGAACTCAACCAACTTGTGCAACATTGAATGCAATAGTGAGTTTTCTGTACTTTTAGTGTTTTAAAAAATAGTGTAAAGCTTCATTGTTGACATTTTAATTGTTACCTCTTTGACCTAAAGTTATTCTCAAATGAATGTGTTCAGTATTTGCTGCAGCTAGAAGCCTACAGTCTTTAACAGATACGTATTTTCCTCATTTAGAAAACTAAGATTGTTCTTTCTCTTCAGATTTGATTGATGACAATATTGATGATGATATCAGTTGCGTGCTGATGCTCCTCACAGAAATTGTGTAAGTTTTCATTTCATTTTTATTTGTATGTTTAGAAGTTTGTGGAAAGTACATGTTGGTTTCTGGTGAGAACTATTAGTTTAGTTTTTTCTGCAGGACTTTAATGTACAATACATTTCAAATGATTTTTTTAAGTTATTATTTGTAAACTGTTTCTAAATATATTAGTTTTATAGAAAATAAGCACTCAGAGAACACAACTCACTGAACATATCCCACAGGAAAGTTCTGTAATTTCACAATTTAATTACATTTATTTGTTCAAAGATTTTATGGATTTGTTTGTTTGCCAAAGCCCATCTGTCCACCAGTTTATATAAAGTTGAAGTAACTTGTTTTGCACAACTTTGTTGAACTGAACAAACGGTACAAAACACAGCACACAATACAATAATCATATTTACAGTTGAAAACTGTACAGCACTGTATAAGCAAATAGAACAGACAAGAACAAACAGTTAAGATATTATGATTATTCATGTTTGTATTTGTGGAGTCCTAAAGCAATGTCATATGTAAACATTTATTTCCTCGTATGTTTTAAACAGTGACAAGGGCTTCAAGGCACCAAACTTGAAGGAGCTCAGAAAAGTGTAAGTTATTAATATTTTTATTTAAAACACACATATTAAGTTTGTTTCTATAAAGTTATGTTAACCCTCTGTTTTTCTGCAGGATCAGACTCATCATGCGAGACGACTGTAAACACGTTAAAGCTTCCACTTACTTTGCTGAGTGTCATTAAAATCATTTATATTATGCAACAAATGTAACAAGACTGATCAGTCTTCTTTCAAAGGACTGTCTATAAATTTAAATAAATCCAAATATGAAGCATGTCTAACATGTTGGTGTGTTTGTGAGCTCTAAAACAATGTGTGCAGTCACTTCTACACAGTGATCCAACAGAGTAGATGAAAGAAGAGTCGCGTGAATGTTTTTACCCCTCCTGCTGCGCTTGTGTCAGAATGAACCACGAGGCTTTGACCCAAAGGCAGCAGTAAGGTTAAATAAGGTGGAAAGTATAACTGAGGAATAACAGACACATTGGCCTAAGCAGATCTAACAGGGGAATGCAACGAGCAGTTGATTTTAACCAGAACGATCTTATTCTTAGTCTTATTGAAACGGAGAACTTTTACAAGAAGTAAGATTAGATCTAGGCACCTGCAGTCCACTGCCATCCTCAACCTGGCAACGCAATCTAACAGAATGCTGCTGGATCAGAAAACATTTGGAAAACCTCTGAGGAGGCTTTTTCTTCATTAAACATTTAACAAAGAGAGGACTGTAAATGAGGACTTTACTGATACAAATACTGAATCTAGCACAAAATGTGCACTGGCCTACAACAAGGCAGTAATTATAACTTGAACATATGTTCCATATGGTTTCTACTCTAACTCTTTTTCACGAAGACATTTATACACGACTCTGAATTCAGGGAATGTCCTCCAGGTCAGGATGACCCGAGTGGATACCTCTCAATAATACCAAGCCCAAGTATGGACGTGAGTTGGGAAACGTGTCTTTCTCAGGACATCTAGTTCAATTCATACTTACACTTTTTCTGAAACACAACCAGGATATTGCTCTAACAGGAAAACATACTTTCTCAACTTTATGGGGATGGAGCAATTTCCATGTAGCTTAACGTTTGCCTCACAACTAAACACGCTGTCCTTCACCTTCAGTGTGAAGGACATATTCAGGCTGCTACACTTTTACTTCTCACCAAATAGGTATTTCCAATTACTTTCAGATTTCTGAGACCCTCTCCGTCTCTACTCTCCACATGACGCTCTCAGACCATGCCGGGCTGTAGCTACATGCAAGAGAATCACACCATGCTAGCATGACTCTTCTGCCATAGATAGTTTCTACAACCTTGTCATGATTACAGTCGTGGTCTAGACATGGGATCCAGTCCTGCGTCCAATTCTTGATGGCTGAGCCACACAGAGTGGGCCTCGCATCATGGACAAGTCATGTCAAGTCAAACGTTATCCATATTTCATGCAGAAAGCGTGAAAGCATGTGCTTTTCAATAAGACCAGAAAAACAAAATGCACGCAAATACTTCACACAGAAACATAAATAGAGCTGTAAAAATATTTATTTACATAATCCCATAGGTAGTTGCTTCACAACAAAAAAGGGCAGATGATCACCTTCTGGTCTTTCTGTGTGGAGTTTACATCTTCTCCCTTGTGTGGATACAGTTCCAGTTCCTCTGGTTTCCTCCCAAACACCAAAAACATTAGGTTAGGTCAGTGGTTCACAAACTTTTTCTGCTGGGCCCCGCTTTGATTTATAAAAAAATTTCAGTGCCCCTGCCTGGGAGGAGTCAAGAGGGGACAGGACAGCCCCCAGAAACCATCTTATCTCCAGCAAACTGGTTGGTCCACTGATGGAGTGTACTGCTTAGTGGGGAAAACAGTTTACTTGGGACACCTCAGGCTGATGAAGCCCTCAGGATAGAGGGCGAAACGTTTTTCCACAAAAAAGAAACTGTCAGGATGACCTGACTGACCAGTACAGCATAACTGTGACGCGCAAGCTCGCCTCCACTCTGCATTCAAATACAAGATATATTTCATCTCAAACAGGCCAGACAGCATTCTGTGGTCAAAGAAAGAACATTCTTATTCCCACACAAATACATATATACAACTTGTAAACGTGACTCAAGAAATAAAAATGTATCAGGACCAGGTCATCGCACATCTTACCTCCAGAAGCACAAAGCAGCATCTAGCCCCGTCTCTGAATGTGCCAGGTGGGATAATGGGACTATGCTGTGTGGGCTGCATTCAAGTGCAGTAGGACGTAATAATACCTGCTCAAACAGTTACTAATGCAAAAAAAAGAATTTGCTTAACAAACTGGTTTTGTCATGGTCAGCGGCCCCCACTGACCCCCATCAGCCCCTGTCTCACACTCACAGCCCCATCATGTCATGTTTCTGCTCCTCTTTGTCGTCATGCTGTTTTTCTTCGGTCATTAGCCACGCCCCCCTCTGCATTTTCAGCTCATCTGATTCACTGCACCTGTTCTTTGCAAAGTTCCCTGCCGCTCACAAGATGTCCTCTGAAGATAGAACTCCATCCATCCATTATTTTTTACTCGCTTCTTCCTTTTTCGGGTCGCTGGGGTCACTGGTGCCCATGTCCAGCCATCACTGTGTGAGGGATGGGGGACACCTTGGACATGCATGCTTTTGGTCCGTTGGAGGAAATCAGAGTACCTGGGGAAAACCCACGCAGCACGGAAAGAACATGCAAGCTCCACACAGAAAAGTCCCATGGCCGGGATTTGATCTGGCGACCTACTTGCTGAGAGGTAACAGCTCTACCAACTGTGCCACCATGCCACGCTACAATAATAAAAGTCCATCCATCCATTATCTTTAACCCACTTCTTCCTTTTCGGGTCACGGGGGTCACAGTTTCCCATGTCCAGCTATCATAGTGTGAGAGGTGGGGGACACCCTGGACCCTTGTAAGTGTGTCCTCGAGGTTCAATGAGACTAACCTGTATAAATAAAGGTTGAATTGAATTGAATTGTACGAGTCACAAGTCCATCACAGGAACACATGGAGACAAATGAGACAAACAACAATTCACTCTCTCACTCACACCTAGGGACAATTTAGAGTCTCCAATCAGTCTAACATGCATGTTTTTGGTCCGTTGGATGAAACCGGAGTACCCGAGGAAAACCCACGGCGCACGGAGAGAACATGCAAACTCCACCCAGAAAGACCCCTGGACCGGGGTTTGAATCGGGGTGACCTGCTCTCTGAGAGGCGGCAGCTCTACCAACTGTGCCACCGTGCTGCTCAATAATAATAATTTTATTATTGTTATTATCATGTGATCAGGAACAAGATTTAAACTTTTGTTGGCATGTTTTCTGTTTAACTGAAGTCAAAACTTTAGAATGCCACATTTAATTTAAATGAATGGGTAATGGACAAGTTTATCCAGCATTTGCTACGCTGAGGAAGTAATGCACTCATCCCAGTAGGTGTGTTGAACAGGAAAACATGTTAAACACACAGTACAGTTGGCCCTGAAGACCCGAGCTGTAAATAACTCATGTGATGACTCAAACAACCATGTTATTCTCAGGAGCCATCACTAGAGGCCAGGCTTTGTCTTAGTAATGTAATACTTGTGATACTTGTAGGAAACCAGCTCTCCTTTTGCTCAAGCGTTAGTTGAAATATTTCTTCTCTTTTGCACTTGAAGATCACAGTTTTTGTAAAAAACCTTTGAAACTCCTAACTATGTAAACATTGTATACCTGCAGTCTGGATCTCAATGTGTTATAACCCTCTTGTTGCTCAGCTCAGCACGGCTCGCAGCATTGGAGCAGGGTTCAAACTGTTTCACCAAGGTGTGGACAGAAAGAGAAATGGAGGAGGGCTGGTCCTGAAGGAGGAGTTGGCAAAGAATGTAGCAGATGACAAGAACTCATTTGGATCAGCACAACACCAGACTCAGGAATGGTTTTTAAAATGTTTATTTTCAAAGCAGCTTCTGGTGGAGGTCAGGGTCCAGGTGAAGTCCAGTCTGTAGAGAGAGAGGGAGAAGAGACAGGTTAGTGACTATGAAGAGGGTGAGGAGTTTTGAGACCTGATGTGAGTTAGTCACTAACCTTCTCAGTCTGTGGTGTGGCATGAGCTGAAGAAGCGCAGACACTGGTGACGTCACTTGTGCAGAGAGCTGCAGCAGGCGAACAGAACATGGTGCTGAGCGTGGTCCGTGAGTGGGGGGAATCCAAAAACAGGGTCCAGAAAATGTAGCAGGGTCATTCACAGGAGGAGTTGCGTGTGTTTTTTGTTTGTGTTTGCATGTTTTTGAGTTTTCATCATACATGTGTTTGCTGCGCGTTTGCACCCGTCGGCCACCATGGTTTTATGTGTGTCTTTATTTTCCCTTCTCCTGTTCACTCTGCTCACGTATGATTGTGCAGCTACCCATCCAGGCTGTCACATTGTAAAGTTTGCAGATGATACAGCGGTGGTGGGATGCATCACAAACAATGATGAGTCCAGCTACAGGCAGGAGGTGGAACACCTGGAGAGCTGGTGCAGAGAGAATAACCTTCACATCAATGTGAAGAAGACAAAGGAGATGGTCATGAACTTCAGAAGGAACAAACACACCTACCCTGAACATAAGAGGATCTGCAGTGGAAGTGGTCTCCAGCTACAAGTACTTGGGTGTGCACCTGAACAACAACCTCAGCTGGAGCAACAACACCACCAGCCTGATGAAGAAAGATCATCAGAGACTCTACTTCCTCAGGCGGCTGAGGCGAGCTGGTCTGGAAGCTCAGTCCTCACCTCCTTCTACAGGTGTGCAGTGGAGAGCATCCTGTGCTCCAGCATCAACGTGTGGCATGGAGGCTGCACAGCTGCAGAAAGAAAAGCTTTGCAGAGAGTGGTGAAGGCTGCACAGAAGATGTTGGAGTCAGTCTCCCCACCATCACAGACATCTACACCTCCAGATGCAGGAAGAGAGCCACCTGCATCATGAAGGACCACACTCACCCAGCACACACACTTTTTGCCCTGCTCCCCTCAGGAAGGAGGTTGAGGAGCATTAAGTGTAGAACCACTAGACTGAGGAACAGCTTCTACCCTGAGGCTGTTAGACTCATGAATCTCTAACCAGAATAATCACTGTGAAAAATCACATCATGTTGCTGCTGATCTGTTTCATGTTGCTGCTGATCTGTTTCATGTTGCTGCTGATCTGTTTCATGTTGCTGCTCATCTGTTTCATGTTGCTGCTGATCTGTTTCAATGTTGATGTGTTCATGCGTGCTCATCTGCTCACACAGACTCATGTTGGTGCTGCTGTTCGGCGTAATGTTTTTATGCTGTTAATGCTTAGTGTATGTTTATTTGATGTTTTTCTTAGTTCATAGTCTTTGTTCTTGTTACTGTTTTTCTTTAACAGTTTATTGTTGGATGTAACTGGGACCCTGTGTACATAATTTTGTCCCACCACATGTACCACATGAGGTACGAATGACAATAAAGAATATCTGAATCTGATTTAATCACTGGATGTCTGGCCCCTGAGCTGCTGGATTTCAGTAACTGTGGCTTGAGGAATGCCACATTAGTATCCCATGTCTAGGACTTAATTAGCTGATTAGGATGCAACACCAGGAGTTTGCAATATTGAACCTCTTCACAATAGTGGAGAAATCCACAAGTCAGGCCAGGAGCAATGTGGATGGGCCTTCCTGAAAGCAGAGAAGAAACCCAAACAGGACTCCAGTCAGCCAACAGGTGAAAAGGAGGAACCCAGACCCAGACCAGTGGTCATTCCATATGTTGAGGGAGTATCAGAGAAACTGAGACGTTTATTTTCTAAACATAACGTCCCAGTGGCTTTTAAACCCCAAAATACTTTAAAGACTGGTTCATCCCAAAGATCCAGTCCCCCGGCACAAACAGAGTAATGTTGTGTATGCTGTTCAGTGTCAGGAGGGTGATCAGTCTTACATCAGGGAAGCAGCCACTGGCCAAAAGGATGGACCAGCAACATCATCAGGCCAGGACTCTGCAGTCTGCACTGATCTGCAGGCCAGAGGTCACTCTTTCAGGGATGATGTGCACATCCTTGGTAAAGAATGTTGGTTTGAGAGAAGAGTAACGGAGGCCATCTTTGTGAAGAAAACCCATCCATCGTTAAACAGAGGAGGAGACCTCCATATCCAACCCCCCCCCCCCCTCCCCCTACAAGGGCGGCTGTGGCTGAGTGGTTAGAGCAGTCGTCTTCCAGTGCAAGAGTTGCGGGTTCAAATCCACCAGTAGTCACATATTGAAGTGTCCCTGGACTGAACCCCTCGTTGCCTCTGATGTGTGTCCCATCAGTGTATGAATGTGATAAAGCTCTGATTAGTCTTTAGAATGATTTGTTCCATTCTCTTTGTAGAGATCTAGTATAGAGCTGTATGAACGGGTCAATGAGACACAGATTGTTGTAAAGAGCTTTGAGTGTCTCAACAAGATAAAAAGGTGCTGTATAAGTCCAGTATTTGCAGTCCGTTTACAAAGTTGTTATTGCACTCAGCCCTCTGTGAACAGCAAGCGGTCATCAGGGCACTAACGATTGGTCGTTTGGCTGATGGTCCTCCTTTTGCACGTGAACAACTGTTGTGGGTGTCACCAGCAAACTGGTTCCACTGGATCCATGATGCGAAGGTGCTGCTTATAGGACTGAGTTTGTTGCAGCTCCTCAGAATGAAGAAGTCTTTTGGATAAAAGATGAAACGTTTCAACAAAGAAGAATCGTGACTCAACCTTGTTAGATTTATGTACTTGGCTTGTTGAGCATGCATCAGGATACTCCTTCAAGAAAGATTTATTTTATAAACTTTCCACAGAACCTCATTTCAGATGAGCTGGAATATTTATTTATACATCACTTGTGAAAGTTGAAATTTATTTGAAAAAATTTGAATTTCATAGGTTTTATTTTGAAAATACTTTGTCATGCGTACTCGTCTCTAGATTGTTCCGGTGAGTTATTTTGAAAGAGTTGAACCGGAAACAGGCTGTAAAACGAGCCGGTGATGCCGCTGGTGCTGAGGAGAGAGCATCTCCTGCCGCAGAGAGGCCGGGCGCTGCTCGGAGGGACGGTGATGGTGAGGTGGTGACTCGGTTCACACCGGGAGCTCTCCGGCCTGTGGCGGTCAGGACTCGGTTCACACCGGGAGCTCTCCGGTCTGTGGCGGTCAGGACTCGGTTCACACCGGGAGCTCTCCGGTCTGTGGCGGTCAGGACACCCGGAGCTCAGCCATGGTGGATTTGGCCCAGCGTGCCACGGTGTCGCCCGGACTCTGCAGACACGGACAGCCAGGCTCCGGCTCAACTAATAACGGGAGGAAACCGTCCAAAAAGTCGCGAACGAAACGAAGCAGACGAGGCAGAAGAAGAAGGAACAAAAGAAGCAGAAACGATCAAACACCGCCACCGTTTTTACCACCGGAGGTACGAGCGGCTAATGATGCTAGCTAGCGATGCACCACAGCCCAGCTAGCTGCACTTCGTTCAAGTTTTACTGTAAACACCTGAAACATGTCGAGAGGAAACTCTTACTGTGCTCCAAACGTCTTTCGGTCCAACCAAGCGCCATCCTTCCAAACACATTCACAGCCAAGTGTCAGCAGCTCCGAACAACAGGGTGAGCTGTTGGTCAAAGCTAGACCCATCAAAACACATTTGTTTGATATTAACAAGGAGCTCACAGGTTCTCCTCTTTAATTCTGCAGCTTGTTCTTCAGCTTGTTCTGCAGCTTGTTCTGCAGCTTGTTCTTCAGCTTGTTCTGCAGCTTGTTCTTCAGCTTGTTCTTCAGCTTGTTTTACAGCTTGTTCTGCAGCTTGTTCTGCAGCTTGTTCTGCAGCTTGTTTTTCAGCTTGTTTTTCAGCTTGTTTTTCAGCTTGTTTTTCAGCTTGTTCTGCAGCTTGTTTTTCAGCTTGTTCTGCAGCTTGTTCTGCAGCTTGTTTTTCAGCTTGTTTTTCAGCTTGTTCTGCAGCTTGTTCTGCAGCTTGTTCAGCTTGTTTTTCAGCTTGTTCTGCAGCTTGTTCTGCAGCTTGTTCAGCTTGTTTTTCAGCTTGTTCTTCAGCTTGTTCTTTAGCTTGTTCTGCAGCTTGTTCTGCAGCTTGTTCTGCAGCTTGTTTTTCAGCTTGTTTTTCAGCTTGTTCTGCAGCTTGTTCTGCAGCTTGTTCAGCTTGTTTTTCAGCTTGTTCTGCAGCTTGTTCTGCAGCTTGTTCTGCAGCTTGTTCTGCAGCTTGTTCTTCAGCTTGTTCTGCAGCTTGTTTTTCAGCTTGTTCTTCAGCTTGTTCTGCAGCTTGTTTTTCAGCTTGTTTTTCAGCTTGTTCTGCAGCTTGTT